ACAAAAGTACCGGTCCAGCCTCATTGAGGCTATTGACCTACCGGCATTCTACCGGTACGGTATGGTACAGCGCGAAACAGTGCTGGCGCCAAGTTTAGCGCAGGAGCAGCGAGGAGCCACGCAGTGCAGCATTAGCGCAGCAGCAGCGAGCGAGCAGCAGCAGCTGTGACTGAGTGTACCGGCGGCCATAGCCGCCTGAGGTATCGGGAGTCGGAGGCTTCTCTCCTCCCTACCCTCGCCAGTCCCCTCTCTCTCTCTCTCCTCCTCGGCTCCCTTCTTCTTCTTCTCCTCAGATTCCATCTTCTTCTTCTTCTTCTTCTTCTTCTTCTTCTTCTTCTTCTTCTTCTTCTTCTTCTTCTTCTTCAGATTGGAGACTTATACTAGTTGGACAGAGATCAGAGTTGGACTTCGGTGGTATGAGACTGTGGTACTTACCGGATTGGAGACTTGGAGATTGTTGGGGTTGATACTTGGCGGCATCACAGTTCGGACACCGGTTACATTTGGACTCTGTATCTCCGACATTGGTGACTGATTGTCCTCGACATTTTGATCTTGTTGGATGACATTTTGGACTACCATATTGGTGACCTATCGGATTCTATCTCGGTGACCTATCGGTGCTGTCTACCTCCCCCACCTCCTTCGTCTCTCCTCCCACCTTTCATCTGTGTATGTGTGTACGGGATCTGGGCATCGTCTATGCTTGGCCCAGACCCCACCATCTCATGATTGTATGTGTGAGGAGTTCAATCACCCAAATCAGCTCTGAATTACTATTTAAAGTTGCAATTTGTTTTTTTTCTTTTTCGGTATTCTATTTATTTCGGCATTGCCGTTTCAATCCAGTATTCGGACTTATAATTCGGATTTCTGTTTTCTTCCGGTATGCTGTTTATTTGGGTTCCGATTGAGTAATACTAATCCGACACTTTGTTAAGATTCGGATTTCCGATTTTAAACGTATTAGGGTTGAATCAGTATCCTGTTGAAATTCGGCATTCTGATTTCCATTCAGCTTTCTGTTTTCGGCATTCTGTTGGAAATCCTATAATTCGTTTTCTTTTGGTATTTCTGTGTCTTTCAGTATTGGAAATTAGGGTTACGAAAATATTTTTGGTTTTAGATCAACTTGGGGAATTCGAACGTTTTGGGACCGTAAATCCGGAAATTCCGCCGAAACGCGGAAAATTAGGGTTGGGACCGAAATTCTCGCGAATTTTTTTTTTCCGTTCCCCTTGTTTGAGAAATTCCGAAAACGGGTTTAGGCTTTTAAAAATCGGATTTTGACGGTGGAAATTCCCGAAAATTCACGTTTTTGGAAATTTGAGCGTCTTTCTCCTGATTTTTGTCCGAATTTTTTTTGGCAAACTAATCCGACTCTGACCCTCGGTATTGCAACTTCCGGGTAGTTCACTAAATTCCCGGACTCAAAAGATGATCCCAATAGATACCTGATCTTGATAACAATTCAAATTTGCTCATTATCATTATTGTCTTTCGTATTAATCATTAATTAAACCTATTGATTAATTAATTATCATTCTTCTTATTACGAATTTTCTGAAATGTTTACGGGAAAATTATTTTTTACTGTTTGATTAGGTGTCTTAGTCCATCCTTGGGACAGGGACTGTATGTTTATTGCCTGATCTGTTCTATCCCTGTGCCCACCCTCTCCCTCACACTGATCTGCGATCCTTCGGACGAGCCAGTCTTCAGCAGCAGTTTCTGATGCCAGCAGAGCCAGCCTCCGAACAGCAGCCACGACGCAGCAAGAGGATCGCCGATCTCCAACAGCGACAGCAACCTCCAGTTCCACAACCGCCACAGACCAGTACTCAGATGGCGAACACGCCACACAGCGGATCATCATCCGAGGGTTCGACAGCTAGTAATGCCGAACCCTTACCGGTCTGTCCGGTGGAAGGGTCGAATGAGCCCCTCCCGGACTTCATTCAGAGAATGCAGGACTATACAGCCGCACTCACCCAGGTCAAGGAACAGCAAGAGGCTGCCGCAGCCGAAAGACTACGGCTAGCAGAGGAAGCTGCAGCACAAACCCGGCGTCAAGCTGAGGCAGACCGGTTGGCGATCGATCAGCTCAACGCCGGCAGCGCTGAACTTGTAAGTGCTAACCAAGCACAATGGACAGCGGTGCTCAACGGGATGCGTTATGTCCCGGTACCCGGCAGCGAGCCGACAATAGTACAGCTGGAGAGGCAAGACCTGGCAGATATTCTACTCCATACAATGTGCGCCGTCATTTGGAACAGCACCATGGGGGAGCTGCATTCCCAGTCCACACTGCAGCTGCAGCACGATCTGAGCCACAACGTGAAGATACTTGCAGCAGCTGTCAAGGTTGCAGACAACCAGCTGAAACAGCTAGATGCACGCATTGCCACCTTGGAGGCAAGGCCTCCCCGACGGTGCGGACCATGAACCGGGTGAACCATAGCTTCTCAACTCTTTCCACGTGAGGTGCGTGTGGAGTTCGGCGATGGTGCATTTGCGGGTAGTCGCCAGATGGTTCATCCATGCCTGCGCTCCTCCAATCAGTTGTAAGTATAGCGCCTTCATCATGTCGTTGGCCGGGACAGTGCGGCTTGATGCTTCCGTGAGGAAACGTTGCCACCATGCCAAAGCGTCCGTCTTGTTGTGGTCGTCGACCTTGCTGATGTCGAAGTGCGGCATCTTGTAATTCTTCGTGGCGGCGTCCGGTTTCGTCTCCAGCTTGGGCGGCCATGAACGAGGTGTACACCTGCTCTCAAGGGAGTATTTCAACTCGAGACTGGACAACCAAGCGGTAGAAGATAGTGACCACGCCAGGCTTCGATTTGAGTTTTCCTAATCAACGATCCGAGTTCTTTTCGCGATCGTGCGCAAGATTGCGGTCGGCACTCGGTAACGAGTACGACTATATCGTGTTCCAGACTATCCTGGATCGCGCAAACCTGGTCATCCAAACGGACGACAAGGCCGCTAACGAGAAACAATCCCAGCCGCATTATGTGGCTAAGCAGGGCTATCAACGTCCGACACATAACAATGCCGTGATTTCTAAAAAAATAGACGACCTCCACGCTGCAGCAGCATCCTCGAGTGATGGAGGAATTGTAGCTGCGCTCCCGCCGAAGCGTCCCAAGAGAGTTCGGAAGAACAAGGCGACACAAGAGACGGCATCGACGTGAATTGGGCAGCAGCCATGGACGGCTTACAAGATAACCAAGGATGTCTATGACCTTCGTCAAACGTACGGATACTGCCTTCGGTGCAACGGCGTCATTCATTTGATCGCACAATGCCCCGAAAAGGGCAAGACACACGTACCCCGTCCAGCAAACTCGGGAAACTGAGTTACGCAAGGAGAGGGGCGACGTCTCTCCTCACTCCGCCGGAACCGGTTGCCTTGCTAGCAATCGATGTCACTACCGGGGAGCATGCGTTAGTCGCTGATTCTCGTGCTACGTACGAGGATTATGCCGCCCAACTGGTACAACCTCTAGACCAGCCGAGCCACGTGCACTTAGATTGCGTATGCGCAGCCTGTACACCGTCGGAAAGTGATCCGGTCAGTTCGCCACTGATTTCCGAGGACTCGACGGCGTGGTCAAGACTTGAGGAGCTTGACCCGCTCGCCTGGATGCCTCTACCCTCGACCGGAACCTTGCCAAGGCCGCATTGCAACGCCTTGATGGCAAATCTACGCTCCTATTTGCACACTACAGTACTAGCTCCGTTAACGGATGACGGAGTAACGGTTGTCGATCTCCGCTCCTATCTTGCGAAGATTGACTGCGAGTACACCACCCAAAGGTACGCCGAAACCGACGCGCCTTTGCTCTATATCCGCATTCAAATCGGAAAGGCAACCTGTAGTGCCTTGATTGATTGTGGAGCGTCTTGCAACTTTATGAGCCAAGCCTTTATGGCCCGCGCGTTCGAAGGAAGACGTAACCCACGCAAGTCACACTCACAGACGCCCGCACGCAAAAGTCAATAGACTGATGCGTCGACGGCGTTCCGGTATACTTTGCGCCACTTGCGTGCGAGCCGGTGTCTTTTGACATCCTTGACACCAAGTTCGACATGATTCTAGGCATRTCTTGGTTGCGTAGCGCCGATCATCCGGTGAACTTTCATGACCGAACCATTCACATTTGTGATCGGAACGGAGTGTTAGTCCCATGTACGGTCGCGACCCCTCACACTTCGATTGCTTGTCACGTGGTTTCTGTTGCGAGAATTCGCGACGCCATTGCTCRGAATGACGTCGAGGAGATGGGCCTTGTATTCTTGCATGCTCTCCCCTCGCCAGACGGACCAGCCGCGTCACCATCGGACCAACACATTTCTCACCTCTTGGATGAGTATAGAGAAGTCTTCGAGGCTCCCACCGGAACGGTTCCGGATYGGCCCATACGTCACGGGATCACTCTCGAGGCTGGCGTCGTCCCTCCACGTGGATGTATCTACCGCATGAGCGAAGAGGAACTCGAGGTGCTTCGCGCACAACTCGATGACCTTCTCGACAAGTGATGGATTCGCCCTAGTTGCTCGCCATACGGTGCCCCTGTTCTCTTCGACCGGAAGAAGAACAAAGATCTACGGTTATGCATCGATTATCGGAAACTTAACGCACAAATCGTAAAGAACGCCGACCCTCTCCCTCGGATTGATGATCTTCTTGAGTGGTTAGGCGGCGCGACGTACTTCTCGAAGTTGGACTTGAAGTCGGGTTACCACTAGATTGAAATCCAGCCTCAAGACCGGTACAAGACCGTGTTCAAAATGCGTTACGGTTTTGAGTGGGTTGTCATGCCCTTGGCCTCACCAATGCCCCCGCGACTTTCCAAGCAGCGATGACGACTGAGTTTCGCGACTTGCTCGATTGCAGCGTCCTCATCTACCTCGATGACATCTTGGTTTACAGTAGGACGTTGGACGAGCACATCGTACACCTTCGCATTGTTTTGGATTGTTTGCGACTAGCCAAGTACAAAGCGAATCTTGACAAGTGCGAGTGCCAAGCAGGAGCTTGAGTACTTAGGTCATTTTGCCACGCCGAAAGGCATTCGTTCCTTAGCGGACAAGATCCAAGCCATCGTGGATTGGCCGGAAACCCGTTGCACGACGGATGTACGCTCTTTCATGGGTTTGGCTGGATATTATCAGCGATTCGTTGAGTCATACTCGAAAGTGGCTGCTCCTTTGTCGAGACTTCAGTCCCCGAAGGTGCCCTTCGAGTTCGACGACGCAGCCCGTGGCGCCTTCACTACGTTGAAGGCAGCGATGCAAGCCGCACCTGCCCTCCGTATATATGACCCCACCCTTCCCACCCAAGTGACTACGGACGCTTCGGGGTACGGTATTGGTGCGGTGTTGGAGCAGTGTCACGAGGACGGTTGGCATGCGGTCGAGTACTTCTCCCAAAAGGTGCCTCTCGTAAACACTCTCGACGACGCTAGGAAGAAAGAGCTACTCGCGTTCGTCACCGTTCTCAAACGGTGACGCCACTTTCTTCTCGGCCGTCGGCGTTTTAAATGGAATATGGACAACGATCTGATGACCTTTTACAAAACGCAGGATACGGTCACTAGCATGATCGGTTGATGGATGTATTACATCGACGAGTTCGACTTTGGCCCGCGCCACATTCCCGGTCCCGCCAATCGAGCTGCGGATGCCCTCTCACGACGGCCCGACTTTTGTGCCATTGTGACCACGGCATTCGACCTTGATGACGATCTGCAGCCGCATTTCGTCAAAGGCTACAAGTCCGATCCGACTTACTCTACGCTTTACGCAGAGCTTTCATTGGATCACCCGTCGGCTAGCCACTATCGGATTTCCGACGGGTTCCTTCTCCTTCACACGAGAGGAAAGGACTTGCTAGTTGTGCCCCAAGATCGCATCTTACGGACTCGTCTTCTGGGCGAATTCCACGACGCATGACTTTCGACACACCTTGGCGTGAACAGCACATTAGCATGCCTCCACCAACATTTTCACTGGCCCGACGTCCTTCATGACGTCACGAGGTACATTGAGTCATGTGCAGTTTGCCACCGTAACAAGGGTCGATCTCGAGTCCCCTT